GTTCAGGCGAGGTCGAAACGATAGTTCACTTTCACTGGATGTTACGGACTCTTGGAAAGCAATGCCATTTGAAATTGAATGTATGAATGTGTGCAAGTTCAACTACTAGTTCTTTACTACTTTAAACGGAATTGTATGAATACATTTTTTATTCAAAATTTACTCGTAGTCTCAAAAACGTACTCATAGTTGAGTTTTTTTCAATCCCATGGTTGAAACTCGTGATTCCTTGAATCTTTTATTCAGCCTTACTCCTCAAAATGTTATTTAATCTGAGCTGGACGATATTTTCGAACTCGCCTTGGCCTTAGCACCTTTTTGAGGGCCAACTCATCTAATTTGGAGAAATCCCAATTATCAATCCTTAAGTTACTGCGAGCGGCCTAGGCGGATTAAGCATGATGGCCTCGAAGACTATTCACGTCGAAAATAAAATATGGCCCTTTTTAAAGGATTACATTGGAATAAGGTTTATTGCTATTTATGAAATATATGGCGGATGAAAATGAAACCATGTACGGTTTAATCTTGACATTTTACTCCAGTCCTACATGTCTTAGGTTCTACTTCAATCAGTTGTCCCTTGAAGACAAAAGCGGCACACTTTTGGAATTCAAGCAACAGTTAAATCTCGAAGGTAAGCCTAACCCTACATCAATCCAACTTAGACATATCGGCCATAAGCACCTAAAACGTTGAAAAATTTCAATCTGCCTTTTTCAATTTGCAAGCACAATTATTTCGAAGGAATCCTCACAGATTTACTATATTTTAGGAATCCGCATTTTCACGAAAGAAGGTGGTTGGTGCGTTCCTCAGATCGCTAGGCTATTTTGCGCAAATCCAGAACATATTTGGCGCATTTACACATCATAAACTGCAAATATCTTATTCGGCATGACTCAAAGGGTTAGAATACTTTAAAGTGAATTCAGTAAAACATAATGCATTATCGAAAGTATAAGACCAAGATGGTGTGGCCTTTTTGTGGTCGAGGTCTCCTTCCGTAA